CTGGCCTGTTTTTGTTTTTTTGAGATAGAGTTTCGATCTTGTTGCCCAGGCTGGAGTGCAATGGTGTGATCTCGGCTCACTGCAACCTACGCCTCCCGGGTTCAAGCGATTCTCCTGCCTCAGCCTCCCAAGTAGCAGTAGCTGGTACTACAGGTGCATGCCACCATGCCCAGCTAAGTTTGTATTTTTAGTAGAGATGGGATTTCACCATGTTGGTCAGGCTGGCTTCGAACTCCTGACCTCAGGTGATCCACCTGCCTTGGCCTCCCAAAGTGCTGGCATTACAGGCGTGAGCCACCGTGCCTGGCCTTGCTGTTTTTAAATGCTTTTACCTTTCATGGCCTCAGCACACTAAAACTCATATCCACTGAGGCAACTCACTGTCAGTCTGGTTTGACCTCTTGCCATCTTTGACCTCTAGATTGAGTGCCCCAGCTCTGGGCTTCTGTAACATCGGATGGTGGGTGGGAGGAGGGGTGGGAAGAGGGATGAGTGGATGGAAGCACAAGGGGTGGACAGGATGGGTCGGGGGTGGACAGGATGGATGGGGGGTGGACAGGATGGTTGGGGGTGGACAGGATGGATGGGTGTATTACCGAAACACCAGGGGTTCAGTCCAGGTCCCGTTGCTTACCACACAGAAAGCCGATCTGGGATCCTGGGACAATGAGTATTGCCAGGAAAGAAGGCTTTATTCAGGTGACATCAGCCAAGGAGATAGGAGATTAAGTCTCAAATCCATCTCTCCAACAAACTCCAGTTGGGGGTTTATACAGTGGGGAGCAAATGTAGCTGCGTGCGGAAAAACAGGAATTAGAAGGGGGTAAAGAAAAGGAGCTTCAGTTCCTTGATGATATCTAGGAGGCCTGAAGGTCAGTTTCCTGGGGAAGGAACTCAGATAAGGCAAATTTAAGTTTCAAGCTTTAGGACCAGGAAGGTCAATTTCTGTGTTTATCCCCCCCAAAAAAAAAACTGTGGGACAATTTGGCCAGTTTCAGGTCAGGACAGCAGGTGGAAGGAGCGCGGGTGGGTGGGTGAGGAGGAGGACAGGCATCAGCTGAGCGGATGGATGGGGTTGGTGGGTAACCCAGACAGTATTACAGTATTTGGGAGGGGATGGGTGGCTGGGAGTGAATGTGAGTCGCTGGTGAATCTGGAGTACATGGGGCTTTGAAAAGTCACTGGGGTACCCTGGGCAGTTGGATGGGGGTCTGATGAGGGGATGAGGCTGGAAAAATGGGTGGAGGAAAAATTGCTGCCAATGCCTCCTCGCATTCGTTCTTAAGTAGATGCTATGCAGGGTATTCATAGCCTCTCTGGCTATTGTCTTTGGAATCCGGAAAGGGAGCTGGAATTAGAGAGGAACGGAGGGTCGCGTGGTTGCAGTGCCCTCTGGCGGCCATGAAGGAGTTGACAATTGGTGTCTGCATATTTTCCTTAAGTATTTTTTCATTGTCTATTCTTCCCGGCTCCCACCCCAACCCCAACATACAGACTCCCTGAGGACAGAGATTTTTATCCGTTTACTCGTTGTGTGTCCATTGTCTAGAATAGTACCTGGCACATAGTAGATGCTCAGTTAAATATTGAATGAGTGAATGACACAATTCAAACTGCTCCACCACTTTATATATTTTATTTATTTATTTTTTTTGTTTGAGACAGGGCCTCTGTCACCCAGTCTGGAGTGCAGTGGTGCAATCACAGCTCACTGCAGCCTCAACTGCCCAGGCTTAAGCGATCCTCCCACCTCAGCCTCCTGAGTAGCTGGGACTATAGGTGTGCACCACCACAGCTGGATAATTTTTTAAAAAATAGAAATGGAGTCTCACTGTGTTGCCTAGGCTGGTCTTGAACTCCTGGGCTCAAGTGATCCTCCTGCCTCAGCCTCCCAAAGTGCTGGGATTACAGGTGTGAGCCACCGTGCCTGGCCTCCACCACTTTATTGATAAGTGACTCTAAGCAGCTCTCTTAACTTCATAAAGCCTCAGTTTCCTCTTGGGTAAGTGGAGAGGCTAACGCCCACCCCCACGAGCATTAACTGAGGGAAGGGGACCTGCACACCTTGGATGAAGGTGCTCCCTGCTAGTTCCCATCTCATGCAGTAGCCAGCATTGCTGGCACATCATGTACTCAAAACAGCACATCATTTTCATTAAACAAACTGCTAGGATGGGCACATTTGCCGCTGGGTGTGGGGCATCCTGGGGAAAATGATCCCAGCTTGGTCCTAGGCTGACCAGGCAAAGAGGAAGCGTAGCCAGATGGACAAGGGACTGGGAGGTGATGCATGAGAGTCCTCATGTGCCATGCACGCCCCATTTCCCCACTCCCTTAGTCACACCCAACTCTTCCAACTGTCTTGAGCCATCGGACTCCCCTTGCCTTCTGAGGCTCTGAAGATGCTATATCACTTCTCTCCAAACCCCATGGCCATGACCCACGCTCAAGTCCTCTTCCACAGCTCCTCCTGGCCTCCCTGCAGCCTCTCTAGCCCCCTCAAATGCATCCTTCTGCAACAGACTGGATTGAAGCTGCAAATAAGCTTATCTGATTTTCCAGTTTGATTTCCAGCTCACTCCTGGGACAGAGTCCAAATCCTCTGACCTACCATTTTGTGGTCTGGACCCAGCCCATCTCCTAGTCACCTCCTGATCACAGCCTCAAATCTTACAGTAGACAATCTGAGCCGTTTCCTACCTCTGGGCCTCTGCCCATGCGTCTCCCCTGCCTGGAAATCCATTTCCCTGCAAGGAGGGCGTGTGTTGCCCTCGAGTGCCCAAGATCCATTCCTTCTTCCCCCGGTAATGGAGTGCCCTCCCCAGCTCTCAGATCCGGAGGTTCCTGGAAGGCTAACCCATTTCTGGGTTCAGGGGGAGCTTAAGACTCAGCCAGGCAGGTTCCTTTTGCTTTTTTAATGGAATGCTGTGGTTGCAACGAGCATTTTCCAGTTGGCCACAACTCACGCCCACTTTGTTTTATTCCAGTTCTACCCATTTATTTTATCCAAAAGGGTCCTGGAGGCACTGAGTTTGCAGCTCCTGGGACCCACTCCTCACTTCTGCTCTATCAGGCCCCAATGCCTGCCTGGATCCCACGTTTTCCCTTCCGGTTCCCAGATCACCCCTGGGCTCAACTTTCCTCCCTTGATGCCCAGTGGTGCCCCTGGTCCCATGGGGCTTCAGTTTCCCCAGTTCAGGCATGAGAAGCTGGGGTTCACCTGAGCGTGTCCACGTTTCCCCAGGAGGAAGGACCGCAGCAGGCAGGGTGGAGCTGGGATTAGAGGGAATGGGGCAGCCACAGGTGGCACCTCTGGGCTGTGTCCTGTTGTAGCAGGATGAGCTGCAGACAAAACTTATCAGGCACCAGATTAAAGAAGGAAGAGGTTTACTCGGCTGGGAACATTAGCAGACTTGCGTCTTAATAACCGAGCTCCCTGAAAAAGAAATACTTGGCCTTTTTAAAGGTTTACAACTCTAAGGGGTCCACGTGAAAGGGTCATGATATTTTGAGCAAGTGTGGGGAGTGTGACTGGGGGCTACACGCATCAGTTAACAGAACAGAAAGTTTTGGAATGCTTTTTCCTACAATGTCTGGAATTTACAGATAACACAAGTAGTTTAAGTCAGGGGTTGATATTATTATTGTTACTTTTTTTTAACTACCAGGGCCGGTGGTGGCGCCAGGGTCTTCTGGGCTATTTATCTTACTTCTGTATTTTTTTTTCCTAACATTTTGCTTTCTTTCTTTCCTCCGTGTCTTGTAAACTAGCAAGGTTGGGGAGGAGGGCAGCAGGAGGAGTAGTGGTCTCCTTCTTACTGTGGGACTGGCCCGTTTTGTTTAGGGTATCACCAAGGACGCATCCGGGTCAGCCCAGCATCTCTGCCAGCGAACCTCCGTCTGCTGTGCATTCAGAGCCAGGTCATCTGCTGGTGTTTGGTTCAAGTTGGGTGCATGAAGGGT